AAAAAAAAATAAGGCAACAGTGATAAGACTATTCTTGACTCTTTTTTTCTTTTTCTATTTTTTTTTCAGAGGAAACGCTGGTCATTTTGAAGCAAATAGAGAACCTACTAACCGGCCCCACTACAGCCCCAACCAGTAACAGGCATATTGTCAAGCGAGACATACGGGAATTTCCGGATACACAAGAATTGCTGGAACTACTAAACAAAGTTCACCAAAAATTATTGGGTTAAAGTTACATCTCGATGAATTTGTGAAGCTCAGAATAGCTGGTTTTCTATCGCTTATGAAACGAAGAAATCCTTCATTTAGGGCCACTCACAAGGGAACTTTTCATAGAATTTTGGAAAATGCACTGTGTGCTTTTGAGTCTTTTGAGGAATCATAAGTGTTCGTTTGTCGACTCTCGACTTAATAATACATTTTTCACGTTTTATTTGCTGGTAGTTTCACAATGCATTAGATTTCCCAAATAAATTGGCTGAACCCGAGTTCCAGTTCTGACTGAAAACTCTTCTGATTGCGATTTGTATATAATGCAATATTTTTTTCGGTTTGGCCGATGCTTTTTCATGTGAGGCCAAGCAAAAAAAAAAGGAATTGTAGGTAATATTGAGAATGATAATATTGATGACACGTAGTAAAGCTAAGTGGGTTCTGAATCATTGCTCCAAGTATGCTGGCCATTGAAATTTATATCTAGACTATATTCTCTAATTTAGGGCTACAGATCATGATTTTTAACATGATTTTCGTATTTAGGAGAGTTTTTTCACGGTCATCCTGATAATACAGCATAATATATGATGTTGGCCTTATCTAAATTACAAACAGAATAAAACTGTTAAAACGAGGGGGCATATTTAAATGTAAAGAGGTGAAAGGTGAAAAGGAATACTACCTCGAGAAGGAATTGAAAGATCTAAGGAATAACTGAAGATTCTCAAGTCCTTCTTGATCAAACTTCGATGAGACATGATTGCAAAATAATCAACAAACTAGTCTAAGACTTTGAGGCATGGAGGAGGAAGAGATTAGGATAGAATAGAGATACAGATAGAAATAGAATGAGACAGGATAGAAGAGGGAGAGCTAAACCAAAAACTTTCCAGACTAGTTAACTGATTAATTTCTTTAGACTTGCGCACAGAAAAGTAACCCAGCATTACAGATGCTTTGATAACATTTGTACAAATTAAGCCAGGATTTTAGTCATTGTATGGCGTTTCTGTATTGTGTATTAGTTATGATACATAAATAAAAGGTGGCAGATATATGAGCAACCACGAGAAGAGTTGCAAGGGATAAACTTGCAAAACGCAAAGAAAAAGAAAGCAAACAACGCCTTCTAGATAGGCTAGTAGTGCCTCAATTCTACCGCTAACTACGTGCTGTCCTTAGGAAACAGTTTGTACGTTCGTTAAAACGATATCAGTCACCACTTAATAATCACAAATGAACACAAATATTGTATAATCGTGTTATCTGATAAATGATATCAGCTGGAACATTGCACGGAAATATGTTAAGTATTTTGAGAATTGTTATCCCGGTTTCAATAAAGGAAGAAGTAGAAAGAAGTTAGAAGCCGGTCGTTCTTAGAGGTCAAAGATTTGAGATAAAGGATTTCCATTAGTAGAGACGATTGCTCGGCAACCCTGTCCGCTTGGAAGTAAAATCATTTTGCGACGCATAACAACCTCTACAGCAACGAGGAAAACTATATCATTATGTTCCTTTGCTCACGATTTGAGAGAATCACTTTACAGTGACAATGGATCAAATTTTATTTTTTACATATTTTATCTGTTGATTTACAACCAAACTCCAATATTTGCAATGCCTCGTTGGGATTTAAGTACTGACACCTCAATATAGAACATTAAGCAATTAATCACCAAAGAGGCCGTAAGAATATCCCGTTTCAACCTTATCTAGAATCACGTCGTAGAAGAATTATTTTGCCTGAAACTTCAACATGGCTTGTTATTTATTTCGCACTTCATAATAATTTTTGCCCCTTTTTTCCGAAGAGCTCGAAGAACCATATACTCGATCAATCGGTACCGTCCAATATTAACTTCCTCGTTCAAGTTTATCTATGGTTATCGCGTTTATCACGCCACGCCTGTGACATGTCTATTTAAAGAGATCTCTAGAGGGCATAAAGCTGTAACCAACCTCTGTGACACTTTATTTTGATTCAACTATACCTTGTTGCGATCTAACCTGACGGTGTTGCCAATTTGAAAATGATGAAATTCGTTGCTGTTATCTTCGTTCTGGCCTTGTTTGTTCATGACAACGAGGCTTGGCGAAGGCGAAGAAGAAGGCGCACTTTTCCGTCGTGCCGTCCTCGTAATTGCCAAGTCAGCGTATGGTCGCAGTGGAGTTCATGTCCGTGTGGATCAAGTGGAACTCGAACTAGAACAAGAAGGATCATTTTGCCAGCAGCTTGTGGAGGAACATGCTTTTTCCATCTATTAGAGAGTCAATTTTGCAAGAGAGACTGTCAGAATTCAGGAACACCCACAAGAAACGCTTGCCTCTGTCCACCTGGTTATCTGGGAACGTGCTGCGAAATTGGTAAGTTGAATCAAGGTTACTTCCCACCTTGGCGGGTGTCCTCTGGGAAAAATTTCGTACGCGCGCTAGTTTCAAGAAAACCCTGACGAACAATACATCAAAAGAAAGCTTAATAAATGCAGTTTACGGTAAAAAATATAAATTAGGCTATTGTTTCATTTAAAGAGTATCAGGAGCCAGTGAGGCGTGAGACGACCGAGAGTCCTTCTACTGTATTTATCGGGTATCGGATCCCGACACAAGCACATGCAAAATGGCTGCACAGTGTTATTCACAAGGCGTCAATCAACAAAAGTGTGTCAGGCTTTTCAGATATTCTGATTGGTTGTCCATATATCCGGATCTAACGTTAGAGTGGCGTAAAATATGCGAAACGTGTTACGTAAAAATATCTCAAATATCAAAATTTCCTGAAACACTCTCATTCGTCATTATCCCCAGAATGTTTTGGCGAAATGTCACGAAAATCGGTCAAATCTACATACCCTATAAACTCACTCAAAGTGGATGTATTCCTCTAACAAATGCGAGATTTTAGCTCCTAAAGGTTTGTAAACAACTAGCGCCACAGGAAGAGATTATCTCGCCTCCCGAAACCGCGAACCAATGGAAAGACGAGACCTCTTGGCGTGAATGACAATCCAAGATTCCCGGGAAAAGTACCGCATAACAGTCAGGTTTTTTGTCTCGCTTTGTTGAACGTTGAGTAATAGGCAAAATTGGCAAAGAAAAAACCTACAGCAATTAACAAAAAAGGGAAAGCTGGAGAAACTACTGAAAAGCAAAATAGCGAATCGACAGACAGCTTAAGTAATACCCTTATCGCTGAAATGAGCTCCCGCGGGTGGGTTTATTCATCAGATCATACGATTCGAGGCGAATGCCTGTGTTTTGTATCAAGGCCGGTACTTGCTTATTAAAAGGAAACGTCGTTTTTATTTTATAGTACGAAAAATGTAGATTGATAACGACTTCTTTGTTCGTCATTTGGATGCCAGCGTGGAGAGGGGTGCTAGGACTGTTTTTTTTTTTTCCTGACAAAATGGTGCCATTTCTCCCTTCTCTGGGCCTGTTTTTTCTCTTTATTTGCCCAGAGACTCCTCTCTAATTTTGATTTCTATTTTTTATCCACGAGGAAAGACTTTCCACCAGCAGAGAACTTTCACGTGTGAATTTTGGCATGTGCGCGATATGAACAAAATATGTAAATAACACGAAATTGCCGCAAGTTTTCCCCCAGGGGGTTCGCCCATTTACGAGATTATGACACCCTCCTGATTTATTAACTTTTAATTGAAAATACCTTTTCCTAAATAAGTCGGACGCTTTTTGAAATTTGAATCTTTTTCTTCTTGTAAACGTTAGGTTAAATATCGAACTTCAATCTAGTCCAATAAAAGAAAAAAACATTTTTTCCGCCTCTGAAGGTGGGAAGTACTGTAGTTTATGTAACCAAGGAGGACGTAATCTTTGAACAGTGTCATCATCTCTTCCAAGAAAATTGTTGACTGTGGTTAGCAGTTGGGTTGAATTGACTGGAATCTCTAAACTTTAGTAGGATTTGACTCTCGTGATAGCTTCCGCATAGGTTGTTAACACATTTGTCCAATCTATCGAAAACAATCCTTTAAAATCGACAGTCGGACCACAAGATCAATTTAACTTACTGTACGCAAACCACCACCATTTTTACTCGTATGAGAAACAAATAGAATATTCTTCGAAAGTGCTTTCGTTGGACTTATGAAACTTCAATGCAAACGTTAGCGTACAATAATCAACCCTTCAGCCATTCGTGCAAAAACTTGGAGGGAAAATTAGTTCTGACAATAAATTGGGGCTACTGATATCTCAATAAATTCCCAATGTCACCACTTTCACAATTCTTTCTTCGTTTATCATCCTCGGCCAGGGAGTAAAACGGAATTTTACAAATACTGACACGATTTTCTCTATGAAATATAAATATGTTATAATCTGCAATCGGGAAAACGCAGTTTTATTTTTTTAGTTTTGCCGAACGTTTTCACGCTCGTCTTTACCCCGAATGCCAAAAATTCACTGCGAACCAAAAACATTATGCCCGCAAAGGGAGATAGAAATGTCTTATGCCATGGCCAAGGTAGCAAAGACTCCGGTTACCTGAATGCTTAAAGCATCTACACGGACCTGAATCCCGCTAGCCACAAGTCTTATGCTTGATATTTTCAATGAACTGAACGCGTGGTACATAGTTACAGAATTTTACCGCTAGTATTTTGCATGTTTCTGTCAGGTCTCCAGTTTGCTAAAATTCTCCTCCCGCAGTGGAATTTAATAATAACGATACAGTTCTTGAGGCACTTTTTTATAGGATACGAACTCTTACTTACCGTCTGTATGACTTTCGCACTTGTCTGTACGACTTTTCGCGCTTATGTAGCAGTCCTTTTTGTGCTTACGCGATATAAAGAAGACTGCTGTTTGATACATGGCACTTCGAATCTTTCAATGCTATGCTAGAAAATTTATTTTGTTGGTATCTTCGACGACAAAAAAGAGTTTAATTTATTACGTTTTAGGGACAGAATTCCGTCATCGGAAGGGGCAAATATATTAATTATAGCGGCTACAGGAAAGGTTTCATAGTAACAATCACATGACGCAAGTACAGTAACTGCAATTTCAGATTGATTCTGAAAGTGTATACAAATAAGTCTGGAGAAAAATGTCCAACAGATTACATGATAACACTTGCAAAAAATAATTCAGCACATTAAAAAATTTAAATTTCACTTAATAACAAGGCCATAACCAAAATAAAGAGATTTTGACAAAATTGAAGACTTCATTTAACCCACCTGTTCATGAATATAATATGATTTTTAATTGATTCATGTGTAAGATAATCAGAAATATTTTTTTCTGCATCCTAGCTCCACTTAGCACTACAACTAATTTACACAACATTACACAAACCGCCTCCCGGTTAGCTCAATGGATAGAGCGCTGGACTGTTGTGCGGGAGGTCGAGGGTTCGAACCGCGGCTGGACCTTGGAGCTTAAACCTCGTAGGGGACCCATGTCTTATTGTTTCTGCTCCAGTACTTGGTACAAATCCCCAAATAAAATAATTTAACTGTGAAAAAATATTTAGCGTTTTTACTGCTCTGTTCTCATGCATTAGCTGAGAATACCCAAAACAGGTTTCTGTTGTATCGGAGCATACATACGTTGCCTAGCAAACAGGCTATGGAATATACAAACTTATCACCTAGGAGAGATTCATCTGATAAAACATCGAGGAAATGTCACAAGACAGGTACGAGAAGAATTAAGAATTGGTTATTAAGCCGCAAGATTTGTGTCTTTAACTCTGCAATAAGAAATGAAATGAACATGCGATTTTCGTGGTACTTTCTGGACCAACTAAGTTATTTTTGCCTCCTGGTGAGAAGAGAGGTTGTTCAGAGATTGGACAGGTGAGACGGATCTGAAGCTGGAGATCTGGTGCCACCAATTCAATTTGCAAATAATGCTAACATTTTGAGTTTACTGTATTATACAGCGGCACCTTTGACAACTAAGGGGGAAATGCAGACAACAACTGCCACAAATCGAACGCCGCCACCAAGACCATCAGCCACCATACGACGATCAAGATTAACGCCACCAGAAACATCACCATCAGTAGCAACAACATCAGCAACAACAAGAACCAGACAAACAGCAATAAGAACGGAACAACTAAACCCAACAGTCTCAACAGAACAACTGCCACAGTCAAACGCAACATGGAGAATAACCTCAACAACACCAAGAACGAGGTCAACAGCGGCATCGTCAGCCATACCACCAACACTACCTTCAGCTTCTGGAGGGATACATGTGACACTACCACCTTTTACAGGTATGTAAACGTTCTCCAATTTCCAAAAACTGCGGTACCCATTTAATTTTTTGATAAAAGTCAGTTCAAGACCTCAAACGCACTCAGAGCTCGTAGCCCTGGTTCAAGAATCAATCTCAGCCGAGCTCGGTAGCGCTGGGGGGCGAGGTCTTGAACTTATACCATTATCAGTGTGCAATCCATGCTTTCCCTTATATTGCTTAACTAAATCAAACAACTCTCGGCATTGTTAAAAAGAATCGGGTGCCAATACAAGAATTCTCAGCCTTACTCACATAATAGCTGCTACACGTTTGAATCTCTTCGCAGATAGATCAAAATAATTTCGTGTTGCCTCATTATAACACCACCGTTAAAAATATTTCCAATTTCTTATCATTTGTTTGCTTGCAGTGTACCGATATTAAAAGATAAAGCTCTTTGTTAACCACTTTGGGCTCCTTAATTTAGAAGACACAGAACACTTCATAAAAGATCACGGCCTCGTTACCCTATTTTTTCATTGTTTACTCGTCCTTTTTCCTTTTTGTTTAGTGCAAAGTTTGACGAATTCGACTTTTGTTGCATGGCAATTTTTTTCTCTAGGATGTGGGGGGATTCTAAACAGTACAAGCGGAACATTTGCAACTCCTGGATATCCATTTTCTTACTCAAATAATTTGAACTGCCTATGGACTCTTCGTATCCCCACCGACAGCGTTTTGATTCTACAGTTTGAAAGGTTCAACACAGAGCAGTGGTATGTACATCCAATAATCATGAGTATAACTGTTCCGTATCAAAAGAGACTTCTTAAGACATAAAACTGTAAAAACGAACGATAAAACTCGACGTTTCGGAGTAGTCATGACTCATGCAATTCGCATGATCTTTTATATTTTTCTTGATAATGGAGTCATGACTATACTCCGAAACGTCGGATTTTATCGTTCGTTTTTACAGTTTTATGTTACAACTGTTCCGGTATAGAAACTTTCATTTTTGTTAAAAGTAAAATCGGATTCCTTCCGTTTTACCATTAAGACGAGCTCCGATGAAAACTTGCTGGAACCTGTTAACCAATGAGATGCCAAGCTGCAATGAGCTGCGACTTGATCATTCGCATTCTTCGAACTGAAATTGTATTTGTCAAGAAAGAAGACTTTCGCTTTGTTTACGACCACAGAGGAGTTTCTGACTTTACTTGAAATTTCCCTTAGCACTTGGCTAGCTATAACATTGCAAGGTAAATGTGGCAAAGAAACGCAAGGAAAAAGAATTGGAATTGAAAATGCGGCCTAATGGTTTCTCTTTCTTTCTTTTTCGTTGAAGCTGTGATTTTGTTGAGCTAACAGTCAGCACCGGGCGGTTAGCAAGACTGAGTGGTTCTAGGAATGGATTCAGCATTACAGTTAGAGGCGACAGAAGTCAAGTTCTTAATATCAGATTTACATCTGATGGATCTGTCGTAGGACCCGGTTTCTTGGCTCGCTACAACTTTATATTTGGTGAGAAAACTGTAAATTCTTGAGACAGTTACACGTGACTACCGCTTTTTGTGTGTATATGTGTTGACTACCCTAATCATTCGCCAACCCTAGTAGTTCCAGGTGAACACAATTTTCCTTATATGGACATACCACAAAACGAATGACGCCCAGTCAGACCTACTGACTTTACACGGTGTCAGATCCAGAGGTTTCAGAAACTTTCTTCTATTAGCTGCCATTACGCCTACAGCGACTCGTCCACCTGGTAAGTTATTAAATCACTATTACAGTGTTCAAAAGCCGAGAAAGTTGCACGATGGCGGAATAACGGTGAGACTGAATGACATAACAAGGTTACCATGCCCACTGAAAACTAACTTTCAACGTCGATAGAGATGATTGTACTTGCCTGAGGGTCTAGTATTCTTTACCTTTAGGTTTTCCATCAGCGACAATGCAGCCAACACCATCTTCAGCCTCTGGAGTAGTTTATGCGACATCGTCTCTTTCTTCTCAAGTGCCTACACAACCACCTTTTACAGGTATGTAAACTTTATTGAAATTCCAAAAATTACGGTACTCATTTAATTTTTTGATATAAGTCAGTCTAAATAATCAAACGCACTCAGATTTCGTGGCCCTGGTTAAAGGACCAAGCTCAGCCAAGCTGAAACGCTGGGAGGCGAGTTCTTTCAGCATCCCTCTGCAATCCTGCCTTTCCAAATATTGCATAATTCAATCAACTAACTCTCGGCATTGTTGAAATGAACCCAGGGCTGATACAAAAATTATCTGCTTTACCCGCTAAGCAGCTACGCATTTGAATTTCCTTGCAGACTTATTCAAAAAATTTCGTTTTGTATCAAGCTAAAACTCCTCCATCAAAATAAAATTAACCTTTTTTTATCATTTGTTTGCTTGCGGTGTACCGTTATTAAAAGATATAGCTATCTGTTTAACACTTTGGGCTCCGTCTTATTGTAGAAGACACAAAATACGTCGCAATAAATCACGGCCTCATACACCTATCTTTTTTTCATTCGCTCTGAAGAAAGGCTAGCAAATGAAACGTCAGCTTTGAAACGCTTTACGGTGGTCGACTAACATTATCAACTCAGTTGATAAAACAAAAATTACCTTTTTACACCCACCGGCGCAACACCATTATCAGTGTGCAATCCATGCTTTCCCTTATATTGCTTAACTAAATCAAACAACTCTCGGCATTGTTAAAAATAATCCGGTGCCAATACAATAACTCTCAGCCTTACTCACATAATAGCTGCTACACGTTTGAATTGCTTCGCAGATAGATCCAAGGAATTTTTTTGCATTGCTTGACTCGCACTTTTGTCATCTTGTTCTCTATTGTCAACGTCAACTGTTTCTTCTACAGCAAATAAGAGCCTTACTTCGGCGGTCCAAGTTTGACATGTTCGACATTCCTTGCAATTGATTTTTTCTAGGATGTGGAGGGCTACTAAACAGTAGAAGTGGAACATTTGCATCTCCTGGATATCCATTCTCTTACTCAAATAATTTGAACTGCCTATGGACTCTTCGTATCCCCACCGACAGCGTTTTGAGTCTACAGTTTGAAAGGTTTAACACAGAGCAGTGGTATGTACATCCAATAATCATGAGTATAACTGTGCCGGTAGAGACTCTTTTAATTTTGTTAAAAGTAAAATCGGATTCCTTTTGTTTTACCATGATAAGTTCCAATGAAAACTTGCTCGAACCTGTTAAGCAATGAGATGCCAGGCTGCAATGAGCTGCGACTTGATCATTCGCATTCTTGGAATTCAAAGCGCATTTCTCAGGAAAAAAGACTTTTGTTTCGTTCACGACCACACATGAGTTTCTGACGTTTCATGAAAATGAAGAGTAATTGGTCAACGGTAGATTTTATAAGAAAATTTATTACTTGATTCGTGAATTCCGCATTAAATTGCACGCAATAACATATATCACACGAATCGCCAAGCGATGAGTGCGATATTGGTTTTCAAGTTCAATTTAACGCGGAATTCACGAGTCAAGTGATGAGTTGCCCTTGAATCACATAATTGAGCATTAATGAGAAAAATARAAACAAAGAAAACAGTATTACTTACAGTTGTTATGTATACGTTAATGGGAAAGAATATCACTTAGCCTCGATTCAAACTCGCAATACCACGCTGAATACCTCGCTGCGTTAACTTATCAGAATGCGAGATTTTATTCAACGATGCGATTCTACCTAAAAACCCCTACGTACTTCCTCGAAGGGCATTATTGTCATTCAACCTACGTTAAATTTTACTGGCTCTACTTGTATAAGCATTTGGCTTGCTGTAAAATTGCAAGGTAAATGTGGTAAAGAAGCGCAAGGAAAAGATTTGAAATTGAAAATGCGGCCTAATGGTTTTCCTTTATTTCTTTTTCGTTGAAGCTGTGATTTTGTTGAGCTGACAGTCAGCACCGGGCGGTTAGCAAGGCTGAGTGGTTCTAGGAATGGATTTAACATCACAGTTAGAGGCGACAGAAGTCAAGTGCTTAATATCAGATTTACAACTGATGGATCTGTCGTAAGAACTGGTTTCTTGGCTCGTTACACCATAATATTTGGTGAGAAAACTGTAAATTCTTGGAGTAGTTACACCATGACAAAAGCTTGTTGTTTCTGTATGTGTTAATTACCGTAACCTTAGCCAAACCGGCTTCTGTGTATATCCATTCTAATAAAATATGGTTTTCGATGTATGTAAGAGATCGAACATTCGATTGCGTTTTTGGCTTATGATATGTTTATGCTGCAAAACTTTCAAACCACCTTCAAAGGTTTCAAAAACAAGTGAAGTAAGTTCGCGGATAATGACATTAACAGTTAACATTTCGTTTTTCAGTGCCACGCCCTACATCTTTTACTCCTTTTAATAACGTAACCTTGCCCAACACAGCGCAACCACCATCAAATACTCCATTTGTGACCCTCCCAACGGAAGTTCGAAGGTAAGTTCCACATCTAATTGCTTCATGTCAACCAACTTGGTTTTAAGTACGAGTGTACATAAACATCGTATTTAGTATGCTGCGCCTGTTTCGGAAAAGTATCGGTTGACATTGTTTTCTTTCATACACAGGAAACACTTTGTAGATTTATCCTGTGAACAGATAGCTTAATGTCTGATGAATTTGTTTCAGATCATCATCATGACAGACTTAGCAAAGCAGTGGATCCTTTGAGCGATACATTTACTCTTGAATTTAACATACCATATCATATTCTTGCTAACAGGGTTCTTGCTGATTTACTCATTTCTCTCTCTCGAATCATATTGAAGGTGAGTAAATATCCATTTTACCCTCATATATTCTCATACACGAGCACACTGGTCAACTCCACTGACAGCAAATCGAAAAATAAAAACACTCGTCAGCTTTTCCTTTACTTTTTCCTCTCCTCAAATCTCAAGCCAGACAGAAAAAATACGTTAACAAAATAAAACTGTCAGCTAGACCCTTAGTAGATAGCAATCTCGAATTAATAAGAGAAAAAATATGCAAAATATCGCTATTATATATTTTGCTGCGTGTGCGATTAGAAGGAAGAGAATCATTAATTAAGAAGGCTTTGTCGAAACCCTACCGGAATCGCCCTACCGGGATCGCCTTCGGAACTACTCGGGATTCTCCGGATATGATCGAAGCTGCAACAAAAGACATCATGGCGTTGCTCTCCCAGGAAAATAAACCCAAAGCCTTGACTCGAAACAAATCCTAGCAGTTACACATTGGTCTCCGCAAGCTTTAGGACGAGTTTTAGCCTTGAAAACGTTGTAAATGAATACGCGCCTACTTTAAGTAATAATTATAAAATTATTTTCTCTTTCTTTATCAGCTTCAAGGACTCATCCGAGGACAAATTACCAACGAAGCTTTTGAAAATTTTCGAAGTAAGTAAAAAAAATTTGTAATCAGAATCCAAATATTTAGCCCTAAGGTAGAAAAGATTCTCTACTTATTCGTCTTATAAGTCCAGAGGTGAGTCCGTTGATGTTCAAAAACCTTCCCCTACCCAGGCGCCCAACGTGGTGGATTTACCTTAATCAGGCTAAGATTCCATTTGGGAAAAAACAACGAACAGTATATTATAGAAGACGTTCATGGCAGTTCATTTCAATATATGAAAATATACTGATAACAGAGGTCATGGCTTCAAATCCCGTACATGCCTTAATTTTTTCAGGCCTTATTTCATCTACTACTTAAGTAGTGTTCATTATTACGAGGATCGCTTTCATATACATTTCTTAAATATCGCAGTGCATGCCGGTACGATTTTCATGTCTTCTTAAGTCGGAGTTCTGAGTTCTAAAGGTAAAAAGAAAGGAAAAAATGCGAGAGACAAACACAAAAAATATTTTGGTGTGACAATGGGCGGCGAGGCTCTCTCGGTCAGTGGAGGAAAGCAAATTGTACAAGTGAGAGAGAATCGCTAGTTGTTATCCTCTTTTGTTCACAGCCTGGAAAAAGCAAATAAGAGAGTTTCAAATGGGAGGATCCAAATCGGGAAACCTACTCAAATTTGAAATCTAGTATCTTTAATTGCAGCGCATGTAATATTGAATTTCTTTTAACAGATGACACGCTGCAGATTTTACAGCAAGCTGAGATGCAGCTAGAGAGACCCAGCAACAGGCATTTAGGAAAGAGGGCGATACACGAGCTACCTGACCCAGAAGAACTGGCTCAAATAATGGACGAGATTCAACGAAGACTGTTAGGCTAAGACCATTTCATTTGTTCCGAATGCCGACGTCTGAACTACTTTTGTTTTAGGCTACGA